GCCTAGTAAAACGGTGTCCTTTATGGCAAAATCAAAGTTTGCTTTTTGGAATGTTTTAAAATCCTGTATCAGGTCCCACATGGCTTAAGTCCAAACTACCTGAAAGATTGTGTCTCTTTATGGAAAACTTATCAGAGCCTTTCATCAGCAGGCAAATATCTTCCTATTCAAACAGCAATTTAATGATAAATTGGTTGGATGAGTCATTTTTATGAAAGAGTGTGCTTTATTTTTAACTTCATTGCTACGTTTTTAAAGATGATTTTACACTTTTTAAAATTACTGCCATTTTAATATGATAACTTGGTTCATTGTGTTCTACCATTTTTTGCAAGATGCTCTTCTGCTTATAAGGGACTCATTTATGGAGATCTGTACATTTTTACCTGTAGGCAGGGAAGCAGTTGAGGGATTGAGGAGAGATGGGATTTAGAGAAGAGAAATACAAAGAAAGGAAAACTAGTAGCTTCCCCTCTTGATGTTCTTTTGTTCCTGATTGCTATTTCCAAGCCTGATCTTCAGTTTAAAAGCATGTTTCAGGAGAAGAAAGCAAGCAATTGGGGATGGGGTGCAGTCAGCCTAAAGGAAATACAAGAACCTCTTTGTTCTTAGGCTCTATCTGGTAGAGCTCTGTGTTCTCCATCCCATTTATATGTGAAATAAAATCTATTTATTGCTCTGAGCTGCAACATCTTGTTGGTGCTATCGGTTTTTTGGAACAGGTTCTTTCCCCCAGAAACCACAATCCGCCCTGCTCTTTGACACAAGCTGTCTTCTGCCATTTGAGTCAGAAACCTTTGTTTGGCATGGTTTTTACAATTGGTCACTGCTGCTCTTTAGGAAAAAAAGTATTTATGCTTTGTTCTTAATCCTATCAGCAGACATAAGGCTAGGGAAGAGACAGCCACCAGCCCAGAGTATTGCAAATACTTTGGAGGAGGGATTGCAGTTCATCGTGAAACACTCATCCCACCTTTGCCATTGGCAAAAAGGCCTTGCGGGTTTCTGTATTGTTTCAAAATCTTGCTGAAGTGGTTTGGCTAGAGATGACAGGCAGGAAAAGAGTGTGTGTTGCGTGTGTGCAAGTGTAAAATGTGTAACTGATTGAATCTCCTCTTAAAACCACTTGTGTGTGTGTGTGTGTGCATGTATGTGCCTTCAGGTTGCCTGTCGACTTCTGGCTACCTTTTGCATTTCATAGCGGTTTTCATAGGCAAGGAATACTCAGAGCGGAAGAACTATGTATGCTTTTGTTGTAATTTTCAGACTTTAAAAAGCTATTTTGAGTCCCTGTCTAGGAGGAAGTGTCTGGGTGTATGTGCCTTCGAGTTGCTTGTCAACTTACGGCAACCTCATGAATTTCATAGGCTTTTCTTAGGCAAAAAATGCTCAGAGGTGGTTTTACCAGTACCTTCCTCTGAAATACAGCCTGCAGCGCCTGCTATTCCTTGGCAGTCTCCCATCCAAGTACTAACCAGTGTAGACACTGCTTGGATTCCTAGATTAGATGGGATCCGGTGCCTTTAGGGCAGCGGTTGGCAACCTACGGCCCCCGGGCCGGTTCCGGCCAGGTCGCCAGACTTACTGGCCCAGGCAGACCCCTGCCGCTGCTGCCGCGGCATGTTTTCATCTTTGGCCGCCCACACCGCGGCCGCCATTTTGTTTTTCAAAATGGCAGGTGCGACATGCACGGCGGCAGCTGTGGTCACGCGCGCCACGGTGGCAGCGCGCGGGGGTGTGCGCATGACAGGGGGTGCGTGCACACGCACATGTGCATGCCGCCATCCCCCCCCGGCCCAGTGGAATGGAGGACTTCGGGGGACCGGCCCAGACGGTAAAAAGGTTGCCTACCCCTGCTTTAGGGTATGCAACTCTCTTAAAAGCTGCTATCTGTGTCTGGTCTCATCTGTTCTTCCCCAAAACGTGTGATGCCTATGTTCCCATTTTATGGCTAGAAAATGGATCCCGACAGAGAATGCCGCTCAGTAGCTGTCCATAATGAAGCCAGCCTTGTGCACTCTTGGCACCGAAGCATGGCCAAGAACCTGAAAGCCATACAGGAAAGGAAAGGTGCAGGTCCATCTTATATTAGTATCTCTTTCAGATGACAGAATTATAGCACTTTGGTACCACTTTATCTGCGGAATTCTAGGTTTGTAGTTTGGGGACACACTAGAACTCTTTGTTGAAGAATTCTAAATACTACACAAAAATTACAAATCCCCGGATGCCACAGGATGGAGCCATGGTGGTTAAACTGGTGTCAAAGTGCTAAAATTGTGTAGTGGGAAAGCGACTGTTATTTGCAGACTCATTTCTGTTATGAAGCATTTCCTCATTTATGGAATTTTATACAGGGGTAGCATCTTAAATTTCTAACTCCCGCATCTTTTCCTACAGCTCCATTTGTCTTCCGCCCGCCCCCATATCCTTTAAGATGGGAAAGACAGAATAGTGGCAGAAGGTTTTTTGATCAGTAGCACAAAGAGCGGCCCATCTGGGAACTCTCAGCGTCTGCCTCTCCGAGAGCTTGGAAGAATTACTTTTGCAGACAACAACCTCTAGGATCCAGCGCGGTTGGGAAGTTACAGTCCCCAAAAAGTAACTTCTCCATGCTCTTCCCACTCTCTGCCGAGAGCCCACTCCCACACTTTCTGCCCACTCCCAGATCTCTCTGTGGCTGGCTAAATTACCTTCCAAATGGTGCTAGTCTGGTTTGTAATCTAATAGCCGGAGGCGGCAAAAACAGCTGGGAGCTTGATAACTGCAGACTGCAAGGCAAACCTGAACATCTGGTTCCACAATGGATGCTCTCCAGGCCTTTCTCTTCCTCCTCCTCCTCTTTCTCTTTGCAAGAATCAGCTGGCGAAGGGGGAAAGAGCAGGGCATGGAGTCAATCCACTCCCATTTTCTGATTAAAACATACAGGGGGTGTCCCCCCTAAATTTGTAGGCAAAGGGGATTTTTTTCCCCTCCTGAATTTCCGCATCTGAGTAAAAGCAAGCAAAGCATCTAACTAGGCCAGCTGCCCAGTTTCATAATACCGATGAACTGTTAAGAAATCTTACTCACTTAGCCTTGCAAATATATTGTCTGGAGAATGGATGAGTGCCCGGAGGAGCATGTGTTTACAAGTAG